GGTTACCTTGTCACGGGGGAGGATGACAGAGGGGCCCTGGTGGGAGTTTCCAGAGGGCCTGGGCACCCAGCTGAGCAGCCCAGACCATTTGCAGTTTGATGACTGCACAGAGCCCGTAGCTGCTGGCCGCTGCTGGCCCCTGCTGGCCCCCAATGGCCCCTGCTGATTGGTTCCTGCTGGCCCCTGCTAGCCACTGCTGATTGGCTCCTGCTGGCTCCTGCTGGCCCCTGCTGGCCACTGCTGGTTGGCTCCTGCTGGCTCCTGCTGGCCACTGTTGATTGGCTCCTGCTGGCTCCTGCTGGCCCTGCTGATTGGCTCCTGGCTCTCACCAGCCTCAGCCCGCCATGTACCCGTTTGGGCTCACTCCCCACTTCCCTGTGTCACACAAGGTGCCTTTACTGTGTGCTCACATTTTGTTTTCCAGCAAATAGTCCACACTCAGTGACTAAGTACAAGCAGCAGGGGCCGGACTTGTCAGAAAAAACATGACAGATGGGTCTACTGAAAGTGCCTCCAGGAAGTGACACAAGGACAACGGACACAAAGACCAGTCGGCGGAGGGAGACGGCGGCCACAAGACCAGCTGGCAGAGGGAGACGGCGGCCACAGGCATTATGGAGGCATCGGGATACCCCTGCAGCAACAGTCCTGCGAAGTGGAAGACACCACAGGTGACTCTCGGGGATGCTACAGTGGGCGAGCTCATCTCCACGGTGGCGATGCAAACAGACCTGGTCCAGCTTCGCTCCTGTGCCTCCTGGCTCCACAACCCACTGTGACGCGACCCCAGCGGAGGCTGGGCCACCAGCACACACACCTGAGACGGCGGGAACAGCCCTTCCCTCTTGACCCCAGCTGTCTGGCCTGCAGCCGTCCTCAGCACAGCGTGGACGGATCCGTCAGTCAGTCCCGATTCAGCCATGCCAGGTCTCAGTCCATGATAACAGTGAATCCACACCAAGACAGAAACATGGACACCGTTCTCACTCCCTTTTCCTCATTTAAACCAACACTCCCTGACAGCTACCCAGCTCATCTTGAAATCTGATCAATAATTCTGTCTCCTAGCTCTTCTTCAATCCTTCCCTTTCTCTCCATGTCCCTGCCTGTGCATTGCAGCGTGGTCGCTCCTCCACAATTATAAATTCCCGTCATATCCCACTGGGGACAGGCACTGTGACACGGCAGGTTCGGGGGCCCCACCTGGGATGGGGCATTCCATGCGGGAGTGCCCGGGTTGAGGCCTGGTCCCCCGACTTCCAGTCTAGCTTCCTCTGATGTGCCTGAGAGGCAGCAGGTGACGGCCCAAACACCTGGGTTCCTGTCCCCCTCACGGGAGATACAGAATGAATCCTGGCTCCTGGCTTCCGCCCGGCCCAGCCCTCACTGTTGCAGGCATCTGTGGAGTGAACCACTGGATGGAGGAGCTCTCTTTCTCTGTCACTCTACCTTTCAAATAACTGAACAAATAAATGATGGCACTATCTGTGGGGAGCAGCCCGGACTGGACTGAGTTACTGGAATTAAGACTTATTCTGTGCATCTGCTCTCCCACAATATGGCGCTGGGAGAGAGGAAAGCAGCTTCTACACAGCTGCCTCCAGTTCAGCCAATAAACTGTAGGACCTGCTCCTGATTGGAGGAGAGCAGCGTACTCGGCGTGTGGGCAGCCGAGTTGGGATTGGCGGAGGAGGACTATAAAGGAGGAGAGAGACGGCATGCACCAGGAACATCTAAGGGGAACATCTAAGGGGAACGCCTGTGCAGCCCCCGAGAAAGCCGGCCGGCAGTGTGCCACTCCCCTGCGGAAGTGGGGAAAGCGGCAGGGGGAACCGCCCTTCCACGGAGGTGGAAGGGATAGTAGCCAACCCGGGAAGAACCAGCAGCAAACCCGGGGAGGGCCGAGCAGACGAAAGAACAGCGCAGGGTCCTGTGTCGTTCCTCCACGAAGACGGGGAGCGACATAATGGTGCCGTGACTCGGATATGAAGCCTAGGCAGGGTTTAGTGTCGTTCCCCCATGAAGAGGGGGAGCGACACTATCATTTGCCCACGTACGACCCAAAGCCTGAGCTACAGTTGCCACCCCCCTCGCTCTGTCCTACACCTCCACTTCCAAACAGGTCGCCGAGTCCTGTCTATCCAACTTCTGTGACACAACATAAACTCCGCCTTGCCCCACTGGAGTGCAACACGTCCACCGTGGGCTAGGGCACTGCTGGCTGAGATTCCCGTCTCGTGGCCATCCTAACTCCTTCTGATGCAGCCACCAGACTGTCCTTCAAGAACATGCATCTGCTCAAGCCAGTTTGTTTGCAACCCTGCAGCGGCTTCAGGCTGTGTGCAGAATCCAAATCTCAATTTTTTTTTTTAAAGATTTATTTGAAAGACAGAGACAGAGACAGAGAGAGGTCTTCCACCCACTGGTTCACTCCCCAAATGTCTGTAACGGCTGGAGCTGAGCTAATCCGAAGCCAGGAGCCAGGAGCTTCTTCCAGGTCTCCCATGTGGGTGCAGAGGCACAAGGACTTGGGACGTCCTCTACTGCTTTCCCAGGCACATGAGCAGGGAGCTGGATGGGAAATGGAGCAGTGAGGACTTGAACTGGTGCCCATAGGGGAGGCCGGCACCACAGGCCAGGGCTTTAACCCGCTGCGCCACAGTGCCGGCCCCAGAACGGGATTTCTTAGCAGGCCCCCTCACGCCCGGTGTGGCCGGCGTCCCCAGCTCACCTCACCGCTTTTTCCCTTCCCCCCAGTCCTGCCCGGCACAGGATCGTATGTTCAGAATCAGACTGGCTGGGCTTGCCCGTCACAGCATCTGTGGAGACAGCTCGTTGCAGATTTGAATTATGAAGTAAATGATTCTGCTGTCTTATCATGAGAGACCTTGTACCCAGTATCACAGGCTAGCCAAAATTCCCCTGCAGGTCAACAATCAAGTGTCCACACCTGGGCAGTGGCAACAGACTCTATCACCTAACGCCAAAGACTTTGTCCATTCACATCACTGCAACGTTCAGGAGGCGCAGGTGTTGTGGCGCAGTGGGCTAAGCCACTACCTGCAGCACGGGTATTCCCTATCAGAACAACAGTTCCAGCCCCGGCTGCCCCACTTCTGATCCCGCTCCCTGCTACTACACCAGGGAAGGCAATGGAAGACGGCCCGAGTGCTTGGACCCCTTGCCACACATGTGGGAGACAGGATGGAGTCCTTGGCCCTGGCCCGGCCCTGGCTGTTGCAGCCATGAGAGGAGTAAACCAGTGGATGGAAGATCTCTCTCTGTAATTCAGACTTTCAAATCAATCGGTCATTAAAAATATATATATAGAATGCAAAGGCAAAGTATCTTAAGACACGTCTCCGAACACTCACACCCATGTGGAGGGCCTAGGGTTCCAGCCCCAGCTCCACTCGGGGTTCCAGCTTCCTGGTGTGCATCCTGGGAGGCTGCAGGTGCCAACTCACAGACTCAGGGCTCTGTCACCCACGTGGGAGACCCGAATCGAGCTCTGGGCTCCTGGCGTCAACCTGGCCCAGCCCCCACTGCTGCCAGTGTTTGAGGAGCGGCCACAGGTGCAGGATCTCTCCATGCCTCTCTCTGCCTTTTAAATACATAAAATTAGCAAAAAATACTTCTAATTCCAGAAATAGTGTTTTAAACTTCACCTGACTCTGCACGGGGTGGGGGTGGGGGGTCCTGGAAAGACAAGACCCAGGACAAAACCCGCCAGGAGGTGCGAGAGGAGAGGGCAGAAGCACACCCACAGCCATCCTCAGATGCGAGATCAGCCCTCGGGTGCGGCGAGTCCCCCACCGGCTCACGCTGAGTGCTTCATTAGCGTGCATCTCAGCCAATCCGGCGAAGCCCGGGAGGAGCACGCGCAAACCCCTCGTCATGGCCCTCGCGCGGCCCCGGCTGCCTCAGCCTTCCCCGGGGGACGGGGAGCAGGGGGCAGCCCCACGAGGTTGCGGCCCGGCCGGGCAGGGGCTGCTGCCCCCTGCACACAGCCGGCGCCGCGGAGAGCCCGCCACGCGTCCTGGGGACAGATGCCTCTCCAGCAGCCGCGGGGGGAGGTCCCGGGACGGCAGCCTCGCCCGTGGGCACGCACTGCCCGCCCGCACCGCACGCCCGGCCCATCAGCACCACATGCACTGCCTGCCCATGCGCACGACTGGCCTGCCCCGCATGCTCTGCCCACCCACACCGCACGCCCGGCCCGCCAGTGGACACGCAGCCGGTGTGTGCGCCGCATCTGCCAGGCCGGTCGCCGCGCCTGCGTGCTAGGGGCCCCGGCCTCCCCGGACCGCGGCCGCGCGTGGGGCGGTCGCTCCAGCGTTGTCTTGAGCCCGCGTCACGGGTGCGTGTACCCGCACGGGGGGAGACGCATCTACGCGAGGTCCATGCCGTGCGTGGACGCCGGCACCGCCGGGAACCTGGGGGCCACGGGGGCTGCCCGGCCCGCAGGGAGCGCGGGTCCCGCGGTCCTGCTGAGACGGTGCGGAGGCTCCGGGGCGAAGCGGAAGTTCTGACCGAACCTGAGGGGACATGGCCGGTGCTGGCGCGGAGGCGCGGGCAGGGCAGCGGCACCGGGAAGGGCTCCCGAAGCGGCCGCCGAGAGGCCGGGAGGCACCCGGGGGCGCCCACGGCTGCGTGTTCCCCTGGAGCTCGGGGGCGCGCTGGGGGCGCTGCTGGTTGTCCGTCAGGGCCGGGGACGGACGCGGCTCCGCGTGGAGTCTGCCCGTGTCGGAGTGTGGGTGGCGACACCGCCTCCGAGTGGGAGAGGCGCCGGGGTCCGCGCGGTGGGCGCATCCCGGACCTCGAGGCGCGAGCCGCCGAGCGCCCCAGTGGCCGGCACGGACGCGGGAGCTCGGCCCCGAGCCCTGGGCGTCCGCGGTCGCGCGGGCGTGGGACGCAGGACGGGAAGCCGCGGCCCGGCGCGCTCCCCTTCCGCGCACGGCCCCGCGCAGCAGCGCCGTCCCGCCCGGCCCCGCACTTGCCTGCGGCGCGCCGGCCTGGAGAGGCGCGCGGAGTCGGGCGAGGTCCGGTGCGGCGCGGCGCGGCCGGAGCGCGGAAGCCGAGGCCCGCGAGGGCGGAGCGCGGAGCCCTGAAAGGGAACCGTGCGCGGGGCACGCCCTGTCAGCCTGCCCGGGCCCGCAGCCCCCGCTCCGCGACGTCTCACAGACCAACGCCGACCGGGGCGGCCGCCGGACTTTCCCCGTCCTCTGGGGCTGCCCCGGCCCCGAGACGCCCCGGGGAAGATCCCCACCCAGTCCGGATGCTGGGCCGCGGGGGCGCCTTCCAGAGCACCCAACATGCGGCCTTCCCCTCGCCTCGGGCGCCGCGCCTGCCCGGTGGAGGCCCGCCGGACGCGCTGGCTCTCGGCCCCGCCGTCTTTGCTTGACATCGACGAAGCCGCAGGTTGTTGGTCGCCTCTAGCCCGCAGCCCGCCAGACCGGCGCTTCTCAACCCTCCTCGCTGCGGGACCACCGCGGACCCCAGGTGCGCGCGCGCCCCAACTCTCTCAGGTCCAGGGCGCAGGGCCCACAAGGGCTCCATTTCACCTTTTAAACAGCTCCAAACTTTTGCATTGTTCCCTACAGTGTTTTCACGTGTTGTACCAAGCAACTGTTTCATTGGCTACAAGTTTAATACTTTCCCTCCAAACCTTCAAGAACACGCACCAGTTCTGCGGGTAATGTTTGGAGTGCCATCTGTGCACCAAGCACCAGGGAGCCCGTGCAGAGGCGAGATGTGGAGCTGACCCTGATCTGGGAGACAGACACGTGGACAGGACAGCTTCAGAGCCCTGCGTGGGGAAGGAAGGAAGATGGAGCGAGTGGGCAAGTGGGGAGGAGTGAATTCCAGCAGAGGCTTCTGGGACAGGTGCGACGTTTCACCTGTGGCCTCACAGCCTGAAAACCTGTGGCACTGACACTTCGTTTTCCAGGTCTTGTCTCGCGCCTCTCGCTCACTGTATTAACTTCCCCCGGTGTTCCTACGTGTCGAACTCACCATACGAGTTGTCTGAACATGGACTCAAAAACAGAGAATCAGAACTTGTTTTTCACCGCAAGGCAAGCATCACCACACGGTCCAAGATTGAGAGGACATGGGATACCTTCTCCCACCACCTAAGTGTTAGTCTGAATATCAAAACAGAGATAAGTAGAAAACACCCTAAATGGATATTTAAAGAAAAACTGCCTGAAGAAAAATGGAAATGACAAAAATAAGAAAAGAAATCCGCTGCTGGGGTGGGGGTGGGGGGCTGCTTCCCCTGTGCCGGGAACAAAGTCCTTGGTTTCTGATCCAAGAGTTCTGTGTTTTCTGCCAGCATCATTAAATAGTAACGAGCTAACTTCTCAGCGTGGAGATGGGGTGAAATCAAATCCCAGACAGACCTGACAAAATGGACGGGTGAGTCTTTTAGTAATGGTGGAGTAAAGATAACACCAAATTCCCTCCCTTCAAACCAAAAACTCTACCAAATTTTAAAAAACAAAGTTCCACAGGCTTTCTCTGATGAAACTGGAAAGCTGAGTGTAGTCAGAAAGTACAACAGAAGTGAGTGACGGGAGAAAAGCTCATGTGGACCAATCGCCCAAGGCAGAGACGCATGGGGAAACACAGCGGGCACTCTGTGAAGGAGAAGGGGAAGTGGGGGAGAGGCGGAGGTCTGTTTTCAGCACAGCTGGACGGAGAAGGAGAGTCTGCTGGCACACCCTTGCTCCAGGCTGGGGCCCAAGAGCTGTACCCCAGAGTTGATGTACAAACGGTCCTGCAGTGCAGGGACACAGGTCTATACGCATACCCCAGACTGCTAATGAATTCAGGCGCTTGGTGGGACAAAACAAAAACCTCAATGTAGACAAAGTCATCTCAGCTTTTAAGTCATTTCTGTGTTTTTCCCAGACTTTTCAAGCAAACAACCAAAGAATGAAGTGCAAGAATAACCAAGACAACATTCACCAGCACCGCCATGAACAGACAGCAGGAACAGAATCATAGCAGGCTGAGTACTGGAATTTTCACACAAAGGACAAACCATGGCGATAATAGCCCCACTAGGAACTGCCACAAGTGCACACACATTAAACATAAGAGCAGATAAGAAAAAACAACCTAACCTAAAAATTATAAAACCAGGAAAAATTCAGTGAATGAATCCCAAAGTAGAGTAGAAACAGCTAAAAAGTGTAAGAAAGTTTAAGAAACTATCCAAAATGATGAAGAGGAAATAAAGACAGAACACTAGAGGGAAGACGAAGCTATGGGAAATACTGTAAGAAAGTCTATCATTCACTTACTTGGATCTCAAGAAGGCGACAAAACACTGGACAGAGGCAAAATTGAGATGATCATAGTTGAGGATTTCCCAGAACAGATACATCGACTCAGATGCACTACGCCAAACAAACCCCACTGGAGAAAATACAACAAAATCTCTACTTAGACACACCATCGTGAAACTGCCTAAAATCAATTTAAAAAAATCTTCCAAACAGCCAGAGGAAGACGGACTCCTTAGTTTCAGCACAGCATGAGATTGACAGCCGACATGCTCACAGCAACACTGGAAGTCAGAGGACAACAGACCCCACTAAGAAGCCTAAAAACAGCCTTCAACAAAGATGTTCTCAAAAAAAAAAAAAAAAAAAAAGATTTGCCACCAGAGCTGACCTGCACTAAATTCTAAATGTATATTTCAGTCAAAAGAAAACTGACTGCAGATTGAAGCTTAAAGATACAGCAAGCAATGAAGAGCAAAGATGAAAATTTTTGAGTCAATCTAAATGAATATTAACTGTAGACAAGAATAGCAATGACTTACATGTAGAGAGACACAATATGTGACATCAGCCACATACAAAAGCTGAGAAGGAGGTAAATGGTGTTAAGGTGTTCTAAGGGCACTGCTTTACAAAGTCTGGGCGAGTTTAACCTTTGATAAGTCAGATATAAAATTTCTAGGAAAACCATTAATAGAAAAACATACTTTTAACAGATGGACAAAAAAGTAATAGAAAAAAATCTATCTAAAAAGAAAAACAAAAAACGAGAAAAAAGGAGCAAAGACCACCAGATAGGACAAATAATCCTAGTAACATAAATATGATATAGACAAGAGACACTATCTAGAAGGATGAGGTGAACGACTGCTGCAGCAATGAAGACACAGCATGAGATACCTGCAGACCACATCAAGTACCTGGGGTCAAGCCCCAGCTCCGCCTCTCAGCCCAGCTTCATGCTGATGTACCCGCCGGGAGGCAGCAGGCCCTGGCTCAAGAACTTGAGTCCTGCCACCACGTGGGAGACTGGATGGAGTTCATGCGTCCTGACTTCAGCCGGGCCCACACAGCTGTTGCAGGCAGTTGAGAAGTATGCCAGCAGATGGAAGATCTGTCTGCCTGCCTTTAAACTAAAATGAAAATAAATTCTGAAAGAAGATGCAGGAAGACTAAGGGCTGAAAACAAAATCGTGGAGAATAAAATATAAATGCTAACTTAAAGAAAGCTGGTGTATTTACCTTAGTATCTGGCAAAATACATTTCAAAGTAAAATTTTATTAGTAATTTAATTTTTAAATTTATTTTTTTTGACAGGCAGAGTGGACAGTGAGAGAGAGAGACAGAGAGAAAGGTCTTCCTTTGCCGTTGGTTCACCCCCCAATGGCCGCCGCGGCCGGTGCACTGCACTGATCCGATGGCAGGAGCCAGGTGCTTCTCCTGGTCTCCCATGGGGTGCAGGGCCCAAGCACTCCCTGGCCACAGCAGAGAGCTGGCCTGGAAGAGGGGCAACTGGGACAGAATCTGGGGCCCTGACCGGGACTAGAACCTGGTGTGCCGGCACCGCAAGGCGGAGGATTAGCCTAGTGAGCCGCGGCGCTGGCTTAAATTTATTTTAAAGATTTATTTATTTTAAAGTCAGAGTTACACAGAGAAGGAGCAGCAGAGAGAGGTCTTCTATTGGCTGGTTCACTCCCTAACTGGCTGCAATGGCTGGAGCTACACCGATCTGAAGCCAGGAGCCAGGAGCTTCTTCTGGGTCTCCCATGTGGGTGCAGGGACCCAAGGACTTGGGCCATCTTCCACTACTTTCCCAGGGCACAGAAGAGAGCTGGATTGGAAATGGAGCAGCTGGTCTCGAACTGGCGCCCATATGGGAGATGCTGGCACTGCAGGCAGTGGCTTTACCCATTATGCCACAGCGCCAGCCCCAAGAAGTTTATTTTTTAATGAAAAAGCTTCTTTCAATTAAACTAGAAGATTTAACAATTAGAAATTTGTAAGCACCCAGTACATCACCAAAACAGAAAAAAAAATTTTAATTTTTTTTTTTATTTGACAGGTAGAGTTAGACAGTGAGAGAGACAGAAAGGTCTTCCTTCCATTGGTTCACTCCCCAAATGGCTGCTATGGCCGGCGCTGCACTGATCAGAAGCCAGGAGCCAGGTGCTTCCTCCTGGTCTCCCATGCGGGTACAGGGGCCCAAGCACTTGGGCCATCCTCCACTGCCTTCCTGGGCCACAGCAGAGAGCTAGACTAGAAGAGGAGCAACCGGGACTAGGACCCGGCACCCATATGGGATGCCGGTGCCACAGGCGGAGGATTAACCAAGTGAGCCACGGTGCCAGCCTGAAAAAAAAATTTTTTCTTTTTTTGACAGGCAGAGTGGACAGGGAGAGAGAGAGAGAGAGAGAAAGGTCTTCCTTTGCCGTTGGTTCACCCTCCAATGGCCGCCACGGCCGGCGCACTGCGCTGATCTGAAGGCAGGAGCCAGGTACTTATCCTGGTCTCCCATGGGGTGCAGGGCCCAAACACTTGGGCTATCCTCCACTGCCTTCCCGGGCCACAGCAGAGAGCTGGCCTGGAAGAGGGGCAACCGGGAAAGAATCTGGCGCCCCGACCGGGCTAGAACCCGGTGTGCCAGCGCCGCAAGGCGGAGGATTAGCCTATTGAGCTGCGGCACTGGCCCTGAAAAATTTTTAAAATAGAAAAAACCACATACACACATCTAAAATCATGCTAGAAAAAAGATTTAGTAAGTATTTTTTGTTGTTGTTGCTTTTGTTTCTGACAGGCAGAGTGAGCTCTCCCACCAGTTGGTTCACTTCCCATGCCAGATTATAGTTCTTAGTAACTCAGAAAAGCACTCTCTCCCAGTCCCCAGCAAAAAGCCTTCCTAGGGCTGGAGCACTGGCGCACAGCAGGGGAGCCGCTGCTGGCCACGCCAGCACCGCACACTGGAGTGCCACTTGAAGTCCTGGCCACCTCATTTCTGACCCAGCTTCCTGCAATGTGGATGGGAAGGCAGCGCAAGGGGTCCACGTACGTGGGTGCCTGCCCCTCACGTGGAGGCCAGCATGGAGCTCCTAGCTCTAGCCTGGCCCCTACCTGGCTGTTGTGACCATTTGGGGAATGAAACAGCAAATGAAAGATATCTCTTTGTTCCTCGCCCTCTCTGTCACTCTGCCTTTTAAGTAAATAAGTATGTATTTTTTGGTAAGTCATTTGCTAAGGATACTGAAGACTTCAACATGATTAAAGTGACCCACATTATAGAACATCACATCCAGTAAATGCAGAACAAACTTTCTTCAAGCAAACTTAAAAACCAGGCACTTGGTTAGGTCATAAAACAGCCATCAACACATTTCAAGAAATTCAAGTCATATACAGATTATCTGATTACAAACCAATTAAATTAGAAACCAGTATTAAAATGTAAATACCTGTTTGGAAATATAGCTCCAAATAATATCTACAAATCAAATATGTAATCATGAAATTGGAAAATCCTTTGAAATTAATGAATACATAGAATGTTAGATGCTGAGATTTCTAGATCAGAGTTGGTGGTAGGCAGAATTCCCCCCAGTCCCTCCCTGGCTGGTATGCATACCTATGTGGGTGGAACCTCTACCGAGCTTCTCATGAAGAGAGTACGGCAGGGGCCGGCACTGTGGAACATGAGGTTAACCATCGCGTGCAACGCCGGCACTCATGTGAGTGCAGGTCTGAGTCCTGACTGCTCCGCTCCTGATCCGGGTCCCTCTGAATGTGACTAGGAGCGCAGCGGAAGAGGGTTGAAGGGCCTGGGCCCCTGCCACCCACTTGGGGGACTCCTGCCTCCTGGCTTCAGCCTGGCCCAGACACAGGGAATTACCAGTGGATGGAAGATTGGTATCTCTATAAAATAAATAAAAAAACCTTTATTTCAGATAAATAAAATCTTTAATTTTTTAAAAAGAGACAATATGGCAAAGGTGAAAGTATCTTATAGATGTAGTCAAACTCCGTGTTCAGCTGACGGAGCTCATCAGAGGGAGACTGATAGTGGCCCTGACCCAACCCAGTGAACCTTTTTACTCCTTCTCCAAAAGGAGATACCCAACGCAGACGCCGAAAGCCGGCAGGAGAAAAGCCAACAGGCAAGCTGTGAGGAGCTGCCCCACACAGGGCAGCCGTGGGGAACGGAGAGGCTCGTTTCTCCAGCTGAGGGGCCTGAATTCTGTGACAACCTGCTGAACACAGAAGAGGACCCTGGACTCCAGAAGAAGACATGACTCAGCGACTGGACCGCAGCCTCGCGAGACCCTCAGCAGAGAACTGGCTACGCCACGCCCACGCTCCACCCCTCCAAGTTCTGAGATAGTAAAACTATGCTGTAATTTGTTCTGTAGTGAACAAAACTAGCACAGAGATGAAGCAGCGTTTGGAAGGCAATTTATGGCTGTAAGTGCATAACATTTGATTTAAATATTCATTTGATCATATAAAAAATGACAAGCCTAGAAAAGAAATCTAGAAAACCACAAAAAGCTGAAATAATAAAACAAAGCAAATACACAACACAGCAGAAACAACGGAAACACTGGCTCTCTGTTAATACAGGGAGGTGGGGGCATAAGCCACTGGCAAGACCGGGTAAGTAAGCAAGATGCCCACAGTCACAGTCAGTGTCGGGAATGAAGGAGACACCTTTACAGACCAGGCCTGTGTCCAACAGGTAAGTGAACAAGAAAAGTGCCACACCAGTCATGTGAAAATGGAGAGGAACCGAGGAATAGCCAATTTTCCAGTGTGACCCAGACAAAACGGAAAACCTGACCGCTCCTAATGAGGAATCGGCAACTGCGCTGTCTTCCCTGAGAACACACCGGTCCACAGGCACCCCCCTCGTGACTGAAGAAAGGAGAAACACAAATTTTATACAAATTCTTCTAGAAAACAAGCAGAGAGAGCCATTTTCCAACTCACAGGACCAACAGAGCCTTGATCCTAAGCCAAGACCTCAACCCAAACCCAGATACTGCAGACAAACTACATCACGACTAGACTGGACTGGGTTTTCCCCAGGAAGAGAACGTCAGGTTAACAGCAGAAAGCCAATTACATAGCTGACCATGTTAACATTAAGACAGAAAAATCACGCACACTCAATAAATACAGCGTGAACTTCTGATAAAACCCAACACCATTTATGATTATTAGAAAAAAGACTTCTCAGCAAACTTAGGAGGAAAATTCCTAATTTTAATAGAAACATCATAAAATGCTTACAGGACACCTCCAAAGTATTACCAGACTACAGGCCCAAAGCAAGGATGCCCACTAGGACCACTTCTATTCAGAATTATCCTTGAAATCCCTGCAAATGCCGTTAGACAAGATAAAGAACGGAGAGGTATAAGGAGCAGCAAAAAAACAAAACCACGAAGCTGCCATTACTTGTAGGTGATACCCTTGTCCACATGGGAACCCCAGAGGACTTCAGATAAGAGAGCACCCGTGTGGGAGACCTGCAAGAAGCTCCTGGCTCCTGGCTGCAGCCTGGCCCAGGTCTGGCCGTTGCGGCCATTTGGGGAGCAAGCCAGCAGATGGAGGGTCACCTCCACCACCCCCTGCCTCTGCCTCTGCCACTCAAATAACAAATCTTTAAAAAAAATTGTTCAGACTAAGCAACAAATACGAAACTTAACATAATAATGTCAAAAAATATGAAAAAAAAAAAAAAACCACAAAACTGGTTTAACAAAAGAGGGGCCATACTGTGGCAACACTGGCACCCCATACTGGAGCACTGGTTTTCGTCCTAGCAGCTGTTTCCGATCCAGCTCCCTGCTAACGCACTGGGAAGGCAGTGGAAGACGGCCCAAGTGCTCAGATCCCTTCCTCCTACACAGGACATCTGGACTGAATTCCAGGTTCCTTTGCTTCAACCGGGCCCAGCCCCAGCTGTTGTGGCCATTTGGGGAGGGAATCAGAGGACAGAAGATGTCTTTCTCGCTCTGTGATTCTGCCTTTCAAATAAATACATGTTTTAAAAAACAAAACAGGGACAGACATTGTGGTATAGCAGGTAAAGCCGCTGCCTGTGATGCTGGCATCTCACATGGATGCTGGTTCAAGTCCCGGCTGCTCCACTTCTGATCCAGCTCCTGCTAATGTGCCTGGGAAGGCAGCAGATGTCTCGAGTCCTTGGACCCCTGCACCCATGTCTGGGACCCAGATGGCCCAGACTCCTAGCTTCAGTCTGGCCCAGCCCCAGTCACTGTATTAGTGACCAGTGGATGGAAGATCTCTGTCTCTCCCTAACTCTGCCTTTCATGCAAATAACTAGATCTTTAAAAAAAAAAAAAAATAAGCAATAGTTATAACCTAAGAATTAGTATCCTGGGCATATAAACCAGTCTTATTCGATTCAAAAAAAAAAAAAAAAGTCAAATAGTCCAATTTTTAAAAATGGGCAAAGTGGGTAAAGCCACCACCTGTGACACCAGCATCCCATATGGGCCCTGGTTCGAGTCCTGGCTGCTCTACTTCTGATCTAGCTCTCTGCTAATGTGTCTGGGAAAGCAGTGGAGGATGGCCCAAGCACTTGGCCACTGCATCCACGTGGGAGGCCTGGAAGAAGCTCCTGGCTCTGGACCAGCCCAGCTCTGGCCATTTAGGGAACGAACCAGAAGATGGACGATCTCTTTCTGTATCTCGCCCTCTCCCTCTACAACTCTGCCTTTAAAATAAATAAGTCAATAAGTAAATAAATAAATAAATAAATCTATCTGTTTAAAAAAGGGGGGGGCAAGAACTTACACAGGGACTTAAGGGAAGAAGTCCAGTGGTAAATCAATCTGTGAAGAAGAGTAATGGACATCATAGAAATGAAAATTAACCAGGAAGGACATACATGTTGACTATTCCTTACCTGAAATGCTTGGGACCAGGAATACTCAGATTTTGGAGTTTCTGAGTGGTGGAATAACTGGCCAAATACCCTAATCCAAAACTCCAAGCTGCTCTAAAATCTGTAACTTGGTGAGTGTCTGTGGAACTTGGAATACCTCCTATTTTTGGATTAGCCTTGCTCAACCCTGTGGCACTCATTACAGATCCAGAAGATTTTCCAGTGTTTCAGTGTCTGACAATATCGCAGAGCCTTTCACCACTACTGCTGAAAGCACCAAGTGATTTGGAAAAGTTAAGTAATACCTAGGAAAGCTGAAGACACTCACAGCCTATGAGCCACCGTCCCACTGTGTACTATCAAGAGCACACTCGTACAAGGATGTTCATAGTGGCTTTGTTGCTAAGAGCAAAAAGTCCGGAACAATCCAAACACAATGAGTAGACAGGACATGGCAGCTGTGGCATGTGACTGGGAGGGACCACTACACAGTCACAGGCATCAACGTGGCCAACTCCCCACGTGCTGAAGCCACTCCAGAATACGTGCAATACTCCATGCACTGAACAGAGGCTCATACTTGCCTACTCTTTTTAAGGATCAGACATCAGTACTACTCAAGAGCAATCCACAAACCATACTGACCAGCAGCCTGTCACTGGCTGATGCAAAGATAAACACACAAAGCCAGAGTGTTTAGAAATGAAGAGCCATCTGATCACACTGCTTCCGGGCTGAGGCTGCTGACTCCAGCTTCCTGCGAGGCAGCGGTGATGGCTCAAGTCGTTGGGTTCCTGGCATCCACACGGGAGCCCTGGATAGAGTTCCCAGCTTCTAGCTTTGGCCCAGTGCAGGCCTGGCCACTGTGGTCATTTGAGGAATCAGCAAATGGATAAGACTTCTCATGTTTTTTATTTTTTTTAAAGATTTATCTATTCATTTGAAAGGCAGAGTTACTGAGAGAAGGAGAGTCAGAGAGATCCTCCATCCATTGGTTCATGTCCCAAATGGCCGCAACGGCCGGAGCTGGGCCGATCTGAAGCCAGGAGCCAGGAGCTTCCTCCAGGTCTCCCATAAAGGTGCAAAGGCCAAGCACGTGGGCCATCTTCCATTGCCTTTCCAGGCACCTTAGCAGGGAGCTGGATTAGAAGTGGAGCAGCTGGGACTCGAACCAGTGCCCACAGGGAATACCAGCACCACAGGAGGCAGCTTAACCTGCCATGCCGCAGCACCAGCCCCAGGAGCGCTCAGTCTTTCCCAAACAATTCCTAGACATTTAACTACAAGAGCGCGTTCTGCAGCACTAGTTGCTCACATCCTGCCTCCACCACGCAGATGGCCTTCCTGGCGGTCAGCCTGTCTGGCTCGTTGCTGAAACCTGCAGCAGGCTATCACGAGAGAAATCCCCACTCCACATCTGTGTCATGCACTGTCCAAGAGTCACCTGACAGAAGCCACAGATCTCGGAACTAATGATAATCGGGAGACTAGAATTAGACGAATGATAAAAAGAGTTACTAAGAGCTCGCGTATGCGAGGCACAGATCCCTTGAGTGACTATTTTATAAACATTTCATTCTCATTGTACTACATGGGATGACGTTGGCAGATAAGCTGTCATCAACACAGCTGATAAAATCACTTGCACAAGGTCACATAACCACAGCTGGGACTTGGCCACGACTCCAGAACCTGGTAACACCGAGACGGCTCGTCCTCAGAGGTCTGACCTGCACCGGAGATTGTGAGGTGGTATCACACCATGGCTGAGAAGGAAGCTGGCGCCCAACCGCCGTGGCTCATACGCCAGCTGACAATGACCGTGGGGCACGACGGATCTCTTCACTTCTCTCGGCCTGTTTCATCTGGAAAGTGCGGTGTCAGTGAGAGCTCTCTGAAAAGGTGAAAAGTGTCAGCGAGTACAATACTCAGCCAGCAGCCAGCACAGGGTAGCACTTCAGTACGCGGCAGCCCCCGTGTACTGTCATCTCCCTGCTACTTCTGCACAGCGTGCCAGGAACCAGGCTGCCCCCTGACCACATGAGGGAAGAAAATCAACACAACCGGGCATTACACAACCTAAAGTGAACTTACTTAAAAATCAACAGCTGTTTTAGAGCAACCGACGGCTTGTTTGAGCCACCCACGCTGTTAACAAAAGGATGAAATGAAGCCACACTCTCAGTTTTGGCCTGTCCATCACACGTTTCAGTGAAGTACTTAAGAAACCATCTTGTTAGGCTGCACTCCAAGCTGTACGTTTGCAGAGAGCTTTAGAAAGGCTAACATCTGAACAGAACAACTGAACTCAGTTTTCTTAAAGGATTTTTTATTCTACAAGAAATTGGTGCAATTCTGCAGAACCAGCTGTTGATTTAGAGAAATTTTTTCTTTTCAAAAGTAAATGAAAAACCTTTTGAATTATTTATATATTAACTTGTTTAATTTTTGAAAACAATAGTCATAGGGTTCGCTTTGTCCTATTTAACTATAAATGTTACACATGTACAAACCAAAACAAAACACAGATAGAACAGAGGTGTGTCATCTTTCAAATAAAATTGCTCTTCAGTCCACTGTATTTCTCAGGTTGATTAACATCAAGCCCTAGATGAAACTTTTGACCCACAAACCATTTGTTTCTTTAATAGAAAAAAAGAAATGCTTAGAGTACTAACAAAGTAATATCTTAAAATATATCTTCACACAGCTGAAATTTTAATATGAACTTGTATATACCAAGCCACGGCCATTATTTATTCTAGTTTAAAAATATATACAACTATGATGTTCAAATACACATTCTGAGCCATTAGATCCAAACAATTATTTGGGAAATTCAAACTGCTGCAACAAGTTACGAAAGAATTAAAGAAAAAAGATGAGCTACGAATTATATAGTTGGAGAAAAAAAAACCCGGCTGTTTAGCATTTTTGTCTGGATGGATATGTACTTTCTGATTTATACAGACATACTCAATTGAGTACAGACAGCCATCAAACTTGGTGAGTTACAAAGGGACCAGACTAAGCTCACATCATTTTCTAAAGCAGGTTAACAATGGTGATTTCAAGAACTTTAATACACCTCAACAGTTTCACCAAAAATGACTTGTGGTGATAGTCTAATATCATCAGTGTTAAGAGGCACAAATAAACGAGGGCACTACCTAAGCCCAACCTGGCAAGACCTACATCTGACTGTGTAGTCATGGTGCAATTATCTAAACACAAGGGCACAGACCAGCACACCTGACGCACACGTCCGTGCTGATCAGCCACACGAACATTAGTGCTGAAAACCTTCAAGGCTAAATATAAAGGGACACTTATGAAGCTGCAGGATAACTCCAGTACAAGAACCTAGATAGGTAAACCTGGAAAATCTTAAACTTTACTTCTAAACTCACTGACAAATGTTGTTTAAGAGTAGCTATTTGGTCTTCGAAAATCCTAAAATCAAAACTGAAAACAGGTTCACGCTTTGCTATGCTGTGGCATCTGAAATCAGCAGGCAAGACAACTTGAATTTGTTTTGCTCTTACATGCAGAAGTGTATATATGCATTTTAAGACAGCTCAGAGGTAAGAGTTAAGTTCCAGTCAGCAGGATGGTTCTGTGACTAGAATAGCTATCCAATCAGTGTTCTGCGGTATCATGTATCAGTCACTGTAGAGACAGTCTGGCTAGTACTTATCACCTTTGGGTGGAGAAGGGAGGCACAAAAACAGTTGTTAACATCTTTTTTTTTAAATCAGTAGAAAAGCTTTACATATATATAATTTTGCATCATCTTGTATTCTATTCTAGAATACTTGGAACAAAAATCTTATTTCAATCAGCTCAATTCATACACTTTGTAAGATACCAACGGAGTCTACTAACAGTATGTGGAATACAGACTATTTAATTCTCATTCAGTAAAGATTATCAAACAGGAAACACACACAGCATCCTAAATTTTAAAATCACTTCAGGGTTGCTAACCGGACATTACAGAAATAAAATGTGCAAGACAAAAACAAACAATAAAAGAAATTAACTTCTCAGTGCATCACAGCCACGAGGGTACAAAGGACAGCACTTCCCTGACACACACAGCTGTCGGTGTCAGCTGGGATCAAAGTCGTGGAAGGGCAAGAACCGGCTTCTTCAAATGTCAGAAATTAAACAGACCACCTTTTTCCTTGTGAAAGTACTGGAAACGCAGAGAGTGCAGAAAACTCACTGAAGACTTTCCTACTTCACTTGCTCCCACTGTGATGTCTTCAATCATCCTCTATCCACGTCACCTGTTACAAGTGTCTGATTTTTTTTTTTTTAGGCCTGTGTAAATTTTGCTACCGAAACATACTGTTTTCTGTGTGGCTAGAGTGCCCTCATGAAGAAAAAAAAACACAGCATATGGTTATAAATCATAGAATAAACTCAAAAAACAAAATCTGACATTTTCCAAGCTAATGAGAAATAAATTATACCATGATGTATCAATTAAAAGTTGCACCAATAGTAACTAACATTTCCATGGTAGATTTTTCCCCCCATAAAATTAAACGATACAGGATATAGCTTGGGCTATAGTTAATCACATGTGGTTTTCTTAAAAACAAAACTTTATTCACTATAAACATAAAAGGCAGCTTTCTTCCTCCCTAACACGTGTAGACATTAAACCTCAGGTTTTTTTAAAATACCAACTACCTATAAGAAAAATACTTTTAAATGATTAAAAGGAATCAAAATACCAAAGTTTAGTGTGTGAAGAGCAGATATAAACAACCAAGAAGAAAGTTGATCATTGGTGTTCAATATTTAAAATGAAAAGCCCAAAGTAAGTTCCAGAGTTTTCCCACCTTTACAGATAAAAGAAGGTGTCCTTCCCACAGCGTGGGGATACGCATCGCAATCCCTCCCAACAAGTGTGTGATGGAGTTCGAGAACCCTGCCCCTTGAGTTCTGCAGTACCTAGCCGAGAGGACCACCCACGGCGCCCAGGCGTGGTTAGGATCCGACCCGCGTCGTGGTGGTCCTCTTATCCGAGAAAAAGCTTTTCAGAAGAAACACCTGCCCTATGCTAACCACCAGAAGAATGAGGGCTTCTCCCACCGACCAGTAGGCCACTCTCGTATTTAGATCCTCCGCTCGGCTTCGGCCTTGGGCTTCTCTCAAACGGAAGTGAGTCTGATAGTCGATGACAGACTTCAGGGCTTCATGGATTGAGACACAGGCAGACTCCATCTAGAGAGAAAGAGCTCCGTGAGTGTGGGCAGTCCTGCCCCGCACCCCCTCGCATTTCCGCCTTCCCTCCCGTGTGCTCTCAGTGCCTCGTCGCTCGGCATGCACTCGGCTGGCACCCGCGCATTCCCTCATTTGTCAGACGGCCTGGAGATGCAGCCCTCGTACTCATTCCCAACAGACACTGCTGAGGCCAGAAATCCCAGAGGCGCTGCGTCCCACACCGGGGCTCCCAGGCGAGGCACCAGCAGGTGAGAGGTGGAACTCAGAGCCGAGAGCAGCAGAAACAACTATCAGCGAAGGCCTTCTAGGAAGAACCAGGAGGAAACAAATGGCCACAAAGTTCACCAATAATGACTAGAAGTCAAAGGCCAAATAGTCACAAAAATAAACATGGCATGAGACAAGTTGAATTAGCTGGTTATCTCAAGTATTCTGAAAACACCCTTAATATTATTTATTAAAACACATGGCTAGCTGTTGAACCCGAATGTAACACTCAGAACAGAAACACCTCCTTGTGCCAGAAAACCAGGCCGAGGCACACGCGCCCCCGGGGTCAGGTTCTGGTCTCTGGGCACCTTCTTTCCACACCTTACTCTTGTGCCTTCACTATCCGCCTGCTCTGAGAGAGGTTAAGTGTCTGCTTTTTTACACAGCAGAGTTGAATGTTTTCCCAATGCTGAAAACATAATCCCAGTGAAATACGTGCTTTATTGTTCTATCACAAATCATGAATTAATTTTAAAAAACAAATGAGTTTGTCTGAATTTTAATAAAAATATAGACATTAGGAAATAATTTAAACATTTAAGTTCTACCAAAGTAAGTATGAAAGAAGTAATTTTAAGAATATTCAATTGCAGGGGCTGGTGCTGTGGCTTAGCGGCCACCTGCAGTGGTGGCATCCCATATGGGTGGTTGGTTGGTCAAGTCCCAGCAGCTCCATTTTCCTTCCTTCCTTCCTTTTTTTTTTGACAGGCAGAGTGGACAGTGAGAGAGAAAAACAGAGAGAAAGGTCTTCCTTTTCTGTTGGTTCACCCTCCAATGGCCGCTGCGGCCGGTGTACCACGCTGATCTGAAGCCAGGAGCCAGGTGCTTCTCCTGGTCTCCCATGGGGTGCAGGGCCCAAGCACTTGGGCCATCCTCCACTGCACTCCCGGGCCACAGCAGAGAGCTGGCCTGGAAGAGGGGCAACCGGGACAGAATCCGGCGCCCCGACCGGGACTAGAACCCAGTGTGCCGGCGCCGCAAGGCAGAGGATTAGCCTATTGAGCCACGGCGCCGGCCAGCAGCTCCATTTCCAATCCAGCTCTCTGCTGTGGCCTGGGAAAGCAGCAGAAGATGGCCCAAGTCCTTGGGCCCCTGCACCCTCGTGGGAGACCTGGAAGAAGCTCCTGGTTCCTGGCTTTGGATCAGCGCAGCTCCGGCCATTGCAGCCAACTGGGGAGTGAACCAGCCGATGGAAGACCTCTTTCTCTGCCTCTCTTTCTCTGTGTAACTCTTTCCAATAAATAAGTAAATAAATCTTTAAAAAAAATAGAATATTCAATTACAAATGTTTTTTATAAATGTGGGAGACTGGGTCAACAAACTGAATTTACCTATTAGAAAACCCAAGTGTTTCCATGGCTCTTGTTCTGCTTAGGCCCCTATGAAGGAAAGATCAGCAAAACTCCACTGAAGTGCATCCTCTCAAACTGTGAAGAGGCTGGAGAGAGCTGCTTCCAGCATTTCTTTTCTGCGTATTCTCGACACAGCGTGAGGGCCCAGGGATTCTACTAAGAATGTGTAAAACCAAGGAGTAACGCAACTCCAGAATGGTAAGGACTCCTTGTAGTCCATGGCATATGACTTAACAATTGGTGTGGGGCTCGTGCTGTGGCACAGCTGGTTACGCTGCTGCCCATGACACTGGCATCCCACGTTGGCACCAGTTCAAGTCCTAGCCACTCCATTTCCAATCCAGCTCCCTGTAAGGGCTTGGGGAAGCAGCAGAAGATGGCCCAAGTGCTTGGGCGCCCACACACACAGGAAGACTCAGATGAAGCGCTTGGCTCCTGGCTTCCGCCTCGCCTAACCTGGCCACTGCAGCCCTTTGGGGAGCGAACCAGTGGACGGAAGATCTCTCTCTCTTTCAAAAAATAAAATTTAAAAAAGAAAAAAAGAACTGGTAGATTAGAGAAAACACAGAACTCAAGGGACTACTTACTTGGATTCATATAATTTCTGAGATGTGGTGTTTTTTCTTTTTAACTTTTGAAGTATAAATGTCCAGATATTTTCAAATGCTCAGAGACCAGTATGATGAGTTTCTATTATAAACACATGGCTAACTTTATTTCATCTATATTCCCCCACCCATTTTCCCCAATTATTTTCTTTTTAAAGATTGCAATTTACTTATTTGAAAGGCAGAATTACAGAGCGGCAGAGGAAGACAGACAGAGAGAGGTCCTCCATCCACTGTTCACTCCTCAAATGGCTGCAACAGCTGGAGCTGGGCCGATCCAAAGTCAGGAGCCTGGAGCTTCCTCTGGGTCTCCCATGTGGGTGCAGGAGCCCGAGGACTTGGGCCATCCTCTGCTGCTTTCCCAGGCACATTAGCAGGGAGCTGGACTGGAAGTGGAGCAGCCAGGACAAGAACCAGCGCCCATATGGATCGCTAGCACTGCAGGCGGCGGCTTTACCTGCTACATTACAGCACCGGCCCCTCCCCAATTATTTTAAAACAAATCCCAGGTATTTTGTCCTTTTAGCTTCAAATACTTTTACACTTTTTCCCCAAGGTTAACATTTTAAAAGATTAACCCCAACAGCATAAGTAGCACAACAAAGCTGCTGTTCCCACAGTTGTCCTCAACCTCTGGCTCTGGCTCTCTTGCTTTCCTGCCTGCATCCTCCCCCCTCTAGCAGCGGCAGCTAGAGACCTGATGGGATTCAGGAGTCCTGTTTCCATGGGAACACCTCCAATCAGTACTGCACTTCCTACCACAAGGCACACATCGTCCAGTTATCTATCGCTCCATTTGTCAATCATCACGTGACATCAGGCTGACCAGTCCATTACAAAGTTCCCCACTATACCCATGGTTTTATTACTATTAACAGGTAAAAAAATGATCATAGTAAAACTATCATCTATTCTGCATTTACCAACTGGTAGGTTTTTCCATGAACAGCTGCTTTATAAGTACCCCTACTACGTGAAGGGCTGTCCCCCTTTTTGCAAACAGAACACGCGGTCTAAGACAAGACAGGAAATGTGCTATGAGCAAATGGGGCGGCCTTGCTGCTCTACAGCATTGAGGTTTTCAGAGCAAGCCACCTTCTTCCACACAAGTCAAAAGCCATGAAGAAATGGATACAGGTTAAGTGCCCAACAGTGGCCCCAGAGAAAAACCATTTTACAAAGCAAAGCCCCTCTCACACAGGATCCTAACACACAGAGAACTTTCTACAAATGAGACAACTGTTTTGCTATCTTTAATGGCCTCTTATCTTCGTGACTTTGGCCAAGAGAAATGGAAGCTGGGAACACTGAAATGTGAGTTCACGGCTTTCACAAGTCGGTGGTAAGTAATCGCTTCTGATGTCTTACTGAGGATCTTTCCAATATAATCTAGGCTCCTTTTATATTTGAACTAGAAACAAAACAGCCCTTCTCGTCACCCAGGCTGTATCTAGATACCAGTTTTCCATTTCTTTCACTATCTTTCTCATACAAACCTCCTCTTTGAAACAAAATCCAATTTAGCTTTCCTAACCAATTTTGTGAGATGCATTAGCACCAACCTTTAACTGGACAGTGAGAGAGAAAGACAGAGAGAAAGGTTTTCCTTTGCCGTTGGTTCACCCTCCAATGGCCGCCGCTGCAGCCGGCGCACCCCGCTGATCCGATGGCAGGAGCCAGGATCCAGGTGCTTTTCCTGGTCTCCCATGGGGTGCAGGGCCCAAGCACCTGGGCCATCCTCCACTGCACTCCCTGGCCATAGCAGAGAGCTGGCCTGGAAGAGGGGCAACCGGGAGAGAATCCGGCGCCCCGACCGGGACTAGAACCCGGTGTGCCGGCGCCGCAAGGTGGAGGATTAGCCTATTGAGCCACGGCGCCCGCTTAAACACAGACTTTTAAGTCACAGTGAGAACTAGAGTGGCTGCAGCCCGAGTGACACTAGGAGCAGGTGGGAAGACCGCTACGTATGTAGCGTGTTCACACGCTGGGTGGGCAGCGCTCTGCTTCCAGTCCCAGCACCCAGCCTGGCAAGGCAGCAGCGCGCCTCCCCGGGTACAGAAGCTGCCTCAGAGCTCGGCCTTCCGACCTGTAGCCTGGAGGCTTCCACCCTAGCGCCCACCTCCTACTTGACGCTGCCTACTCTGTGCTTCAGAGCCCTCGAAGCCTTTGCACGGTGTCTTCTCTACGCAAGCCTGAAGCTCTCGAGCACAGCCCTAACCTTCTGCAAGACCTGGGACGGGCTGTAACGCAGCGTTCAAGTCTCAGAATTCTGTGCTCACCACTGAGTTTTATGCCAACAACATTTATATTGTATCTATACTTGCCTGGGTAAGCGCACTGACTCGGTTCTCACTAGGAAACAGAGGTGGGTCTTCTCCCACTTGGAAATCGAAATACACGGTTTTGTGTGTGAAGGTGGAAAACTCGTTGCTGAAGCAGAATTTGTACGTCCCGTTTCTGGAGGCCGTGAAGGTGAAGCTGTCGTACTGCTTCTTCATCTCCTTGTACAGCACTTTGCCGTCGGGGTCCTCCAGGCGGCAGTCCACATCGTAGTGCCCGCCGGTGATCACCTGCGAGGGTGTCGGAAAAAGACAAGACCACCGTCACTACCACGTGTGAGGAACTCACAGTCTCCTGTTAAGACGGCAACTAAGATACGTGCAAAGACTTTCACGGCCACAAACATTAAACATTTTTTGATTTTTCACCAGCAGATCAAACTTGGGAGGCAGATTTCAGTTCAACTAAAGCTTCGTAGAAACCAGACAGGTTTCCCCCGACAGGAGAGAAGGAACGTTTATCCACCTGGAACTGGTCAGACAACTCCGCTGGTGAATGTAGGCCGTGACATCACCTGGCTGAGAAAGAGGTGACGAGGAAGTGCCCCGGCGGCAGGACCGCACCGCCACGACGGCAGGTGGCACAAGCTTGCTCTTCCCGAGTTCTTGGGGCCCACACTGACAATCGCTGTCAGCAGACCTCTGGACTTCAGAGAAGAATGCGTTACTGTGTGACCTCTTGTCACTTAAAGAGAGGTAATGACTAACTGAATTGTGTTACCAGAGCATTTAAATAACGAAATGAAGTATAATTATGCATTTAGGAAACTGGAAAAGGCAAATATTGATACACAGATAAAACATTGACATTAAAAAAAAGTCTTATCAATTAACATTTACCGCTTCCTGAAAAGTCAGTAACCTTTCTCCAGGAGAAAATAATCACTCCATTTTGACACACCCGATTACTCACACTTGGACACTGAACTTTGAATATTCAAATACATACACACAAACCGAGCAGGACCAAAACTGCTCATCATCTCAATTCTCTTTCATCCCGTGCCAAAACAAGTATAGGGCACCTCACGTGAGTTCCAGAAGGGGAGTCAACTGAAACTCTGTGTCCCTGCCGTCCAAACGAGCAGGGATCCCATCCTGCCTCTCCCACTCCTCCCACTCCGGATCCACAACCCAGATGGGACTACACACAAACCCCGCAGCGGCCTTCACACGACCAGCACTCCTCTCCTCTGGCCCAGGGCTTCTCAACCTCAGCACTATGCCCACTTGAGCTGGACAGCCCTGCTGGGAGGGCCTGTGCTGACCTGTGCCCAGTGCCGTGTTTAGCGGCTCTCCACCCCTCCCCCACAGCACGCCAAACATCTTCTGGCGGTGACGGGGGTGGAGGGGCACAGAGGACCTCATCAGTCCTCACCCCCGAGGCACTGAGTCCTCTCTGAAAACCTTCTGATGACCCACTGTGGCCTAGGGAAGAGCCCAGGCCAGTTAACCCCACGCCACTGGCGTACTCCGTCTGGTGCCCTCAGTACCTCTGCTGTTCACAACCTGGCGCAAGCTGTGGCCTCAAATACCAAACTCCTGGCAGGTCTCTGAGCCAGTGTCCGTCTACACCTGGCTCACAGTGGGGAGTGGGGGTGCCAAAGAACCACAGACTCACCCCGATCACAGGACAACGCTTACAAACCCGCCGCCCACCACAGGGAAGGAACGCGGTGCAGAACCGCACCGCCAGAGAGGCCTGGGGAGGGCAGCTGTGGGCTCCTTGGTCGTCCCTGTGATGTCTGGCCAGAGCCATTCCCTCTCAGACTAGGAATCACCCAACACGCAAAGAACACCCCAGAACCAGGGGTCAAAAGGTGTCTTGGCTGAGTGCTTAAACACTTGCAGTTACATCACCATATTCCTGCTCCATAGCCTGTCTCAGCAGCAGAGCCCGTGGCAGGCAGGGGCAGGATCTCACGGACACCAGGCACAACTCATCAGTCTTGCTGGGATGAGTCGTGTCCACAAACTCCCCGAGGTCCTCCGACTGCCACTGTGCCTTGCATTTCTGAGTCAACCGGCAACTCCGGCAGCAGAGCCTGGGCTGACTTCAAGCCTGCTGTAGCTCACACACACCCATGTGCCTCACTTCAAGCCTGCCAGGGCTCACGCACACCCGTGCGCCTCACTTCAGGCCTGCCGGAGCTCACACACACCCGTGCGCCTCACTTCAGGCCTGCCAGGGCTCCCCACACACCCATGCGCCTCACTTCAAGCCTGCTGTAGCTCACGCACACCCATGCGCCTCACTTCAAGCCTGCCGGAGCTCACGCACACCCGTGTGCCTCACTTCAAGCCTGCCAGAGCTCACACACACCCATGTGCCTCACTTCAAGCCTGCCAGGGCTCACACACACCCGTGCGCCTCACTTCAAGCCTGCCGGAGCTCACACACACCCATGTGCCTCACTTCAAGCCTGCCGGAGCTCACACACACCCATGTGCCTCACTTCAAGCCTGCCGGAGCTCACACACACCCGTGCGCCTCACTTCAAGCCTGCCAGGGCTCCCCACACACCCATGCGCCTCACTTCAAGCCTGCCAGGGCTCCCCACACACCCGTGCGCCTCACTTCAAGCCTGCCAGAGCTCACACACACCCGTGCGCCTCTGGTGCCTCTTCCTCCCGCCCCGGGAGCCGTGCAGGGCAACCCCCGTTGGTCCTTGCAGGCTGAGCGCCACCACCGCCTGGCAGCACTGTACCCACTGGATGCGCGCACTGCTGCATTCAACACGGTACAGCACACGTGCCAGGCAGGCTCCCGAGGCCACGGCCAGGCCACACCTTCGGGATGCAGCAGAAGGAGGTGGCTCAGCGAGGATTAACGAGTCTGCACACTGACTCTGCTACTCGCCAGCTGGTGACCTCGGGTCTTGGCCTGTCTAAGCCTCAGTTCCATCAGCAAACGAGAAGGAAGGACTGCACCCACTTCATATCAAACTTTCCTAAAAACTAGCCAATCCACCTGAAAGGCTGGGCCAACTGTCAACACGTGTGCAGCTGCTGTAGTGCGCGGAGCAGGAAGTGCAGCGTGGGCACCCGTGACCGAGAGCTGCAGAAGTGGTCACCGCGTCTCACGCCCCACCAAGTCCTGTGGGCGGCTACTCCGTCTCTCCAGCCCTCCCTCTGTCCTCCTTCCCCACGGCCACCACCCTCGGCTACGCCACCACCATTCTCTGCCTGGGCCACCCAGTGACCTCCTGACCAGTCTTCCCCACCCACCACACCTCACCGCACAAGGTGTCCCCCTGGACAACTCTCTGATGGCTTCCGGCACTGTCGGGACAAACCAAATCCTTAAGTGGCCAGCAAGGCACTACCTGGCCGGGCCCTGCTGGCCTCTTCCTGGCTCCTCATCTGCAGTCCCCTGGACGCCGTCAGGGTCCTCCTGCTCCGTGTGTCAACCACGGGTCAGCCTCCCTCCTCCCTTGCTAAGGCCTCTATCAACCATCCTTCTTATTTTAAAAAAAATTTCAGTTATTTATTTGAAAGGCAAAGTGACACCGAGAGAGGAATAGACAGACAACCCGCCCAAAAAGCCAAAGTGGCCTGGACTGGGCCAAGCCGAAGCCAGGGGACTGGACCTTCATCTGGGTCTCCCGCAGGGGCGTCGGACTCCAGCAGGAAGCGGGACGGGACGCCGGCCGGGCACAGGCAGCACACCCTCGGCGCCCCACGCCGGACCCTGCACATCACCCTCCGCTCCGAGAGGAGGCCCTCAGGGACCCCGTGGCCCGACCAGACCCCGGGTACCGCTCCGCGAGCTCGGCTCTGGCGGCTGCATCACCGGCACTCGGAGGAGCCTGCGAGAGGCCAGACCAGGAAACCACGTGCCGCTAAGCCAGTGTCCACTCCACGGAGGCCCGAGGCTCAGGAGGGGGCGCCCTCTACGCCCCCTTCGGCAGGCGCTCGCGCCGGGCACTCCTCCAGCGCCAGGAGCCGTACTGACCCCTGACCGGACCGGGGCAGCCCTGCCACGCTGGGGACGCGCAGGTGCGCTCGCGGGGCGGGTGGACACTGGCCACGGGGGGAGGAGCGGCTTTTAGGAGGACTGCTGTCCTTTGGATAAAGCAACTGTTTCCGAAGAGGGGCTTCCCCGCAGTCCACGCGTCTCGGCACGCGCGAGGCTGGCAAGGGGACGCCGGCGGCCCGCAGGCCCGCGCTACCTGGAACTCCAGGGTGCACTTGGTGCCCTGGGCGATGTCCTCGTAGAAGCACTGCTTGGCGTTGTCCGGCAGCTCGAAGGTGATCTCCGAGGCGCCGCCGGGCCCCGGCACCAGCAGCAGCAGCAGCGGCAGCAGCAGCAGCGGCGGCGGCGCCGGCAGCCGGCAGCCCCAGCGGCGCGGCGCGGACCCAGGCCGCGGCATCCCGACACGGCGGTGGCCTCGACGGAGTCGGCGCTGCTCGGCTCCCCGCCGCGGCAGGCTGCGGGCCGTTCCAGGCGCAGGGCAGGCCGCTCCGGGCCCCGGGTGCGGGGAGTCGCCGCCGGGGTTCGACGAGGGGCGTCGAGCGGCCGGGGCCAGGAACCGGGCACGACCCGGGAGCTGAGAGAGGACCGGCAGCCAACAAGCGGAAAGGGCCCGAGCTAGCCGGAAGTGAGGGTGCGCGGGGGCGGGAAGGGGCGGGGCCGGAGGCACCTGCTCCAGCGACCCGGATGTGCTCGCCTCAGGCGGGAGGTGTCGTCGAGTGTACGTGGAAGACCGCGAAGCGTCGACTCCGCCCCCGCCGTGGCCGTGGGGCGGGGCGAGGCGGCGGGTGGGCGGGGGCCTGGAGGGGGTGTGGCCGGCGGGTCCCGGGCGAGGGGTGGGGCCGGCGGGGCCTGGAGGGCGGGGCCGGAAGTGGCCGCGACCGGTGGTTCGGGTGAGGGGCGGGGCCTGGAGTGGGCGCGGCCTCTTGGCCTGGGCGGGGCGCTCCGCGGCTGGCGGCTTCTGTGCCCGGCTGCGGGCGCCGGGGCTCTTGACTCGGGTTCTGTGAATAAGGGCAATGACGCGGCGCGTACCAGGAAGGGTTACTGCAGGTGTCAGTGTCTGGGACATGCACAGTAGGCAGTAAGTACCAGATACACCTCTGCTAAACAAGAAGTGTGTGTAGAGCACCGGGCAGGCGGGTGACCTAGCAGGTGGCGCTGCCTACTATGCACGGGCACCGGGAGGCGGCACCTGCACGATGGATGTACGGAAGCCGAAGGCAGGGGCCAGGCCGGGGGGGGGGGGCGATGCGGGGCCGCCCCTCGTCCCCCAGAGGCCTGGGCACCTGTCGCCCTACGGTGGGGGGCGGGGATGGAGGAGACCCCCGGGGGCTCAGCCGCAGGGAGAACCAGAAGCTAGCGCTGTTTGTGCGCGCGTGCCTGGGAAAAAGGCTGAATTTGAAAGTTGAAAAGAGGGTTCTGCTTACTAGCGCTGTGACCTTGGACAAGGGACGCTGCTCTTTTAATTCTTTTTGAAGATGTATTTATTTACTTGAAAGGCAGAGTTACAGAGAGGGGGAAGTGAGAGACAGAGATCTTCCATCCGCTGATTCACTCTCCAGCTGGCCACAATGGCTGGAGATGTGCCGATCCGAAGCCAGGAGCTTCTTCCAGGTCTCCCACGTGGGTGCAGGCGCCCAAGCACTTGGTCCGTCTTCTACTGCTTTCCCAGGAGCATTAGCAGGGAGATGGGACGGGGAAGTGGAGCAGCTGAGACTCGAACCGGCGCCCCAGGTGGGCTTTACCCGCTGCGCCCAGGGCTGGCCCCCAGCACTGCTCCAGGTCTTGGAGACTCACGGTGCAAGGAGAGCCGTGTGCTGGTTCATCCTGGAGAGGCTGGCGGTGATGGCGCCAGTGCAGACGAAGGCCCTGTGGCCAGCCAAGGAGGGGAAGAGCCTGTGCCCGCCTTAGCCGTACAGCCAGCGCCCTGCGGGCACCGCCTTCTGCAGGCGCGGCCCCAGGCCCCACGCCTCGCACTGCGCCCACCTCCTGAACCCCGTCATGGTGAAGTTTCCGCTCTTCGTGCCTCCAGCCCCTGGCTTTGCAGTTCGAATGTCTGTGCTGTAGTCAGCAGTCACAGGGCGCTCACGTAGCTCCTCGCCGTGGAGGAACTCCGGCACGGTGGGACACACCAGGACACAGGTGCAGGAATGCTTAACGCCAAAGCTTGCCCACAGTCCCAGCTAAAAATGCCCTCAGAGCCACGAATGGGAGACGCAACGCAGCAATGGCAATGAGATCTCCCCACGTGGGACACCACCAGGGACTCCCACACTGCAGAGAGGCAAGGCTCGAAAGGAATCAGACTAGAAAGGCGGACAGCAACCTGTTTTCCCTAAGAAGTGGTGAAACCGTACAATCAAGCAGGAGCATGCTGATGTCACGGGGGATGGGGGCGGCTGGGGTCTGTGCTTCCCATTCCCTGACCTGGACAGTGGTCACGCGGACATGCGCAGTTTTTTGAATACTTACTTATTTGAAAGGCAGAGGGAGAGAGAGAGAGTCTTCTATCCACTGGTTCATTCCTCAAATGGATTCCATGGCCAGAGCTGCGCCAATCCAAAGCCAGGAACCAGGCGCTTCGTCCAGGTCTCCCACGCAGGTGCAGGGGCCCAAGCAATCAGGCCAACTTCTACTGCTTTCCCAGGCCACAGCAGAGAGCTGGCTTGGAAGTGGAGCAGCTGGGACTTGAACCGGCGCCCATATGTGAAGCCAGCACTATGCCACAGCGCCAGCCTCATACACTTGCTTTATCGTTAGTTGTTAAACATATGGCTTGTGCACTTCCTGCAGATATGCTGTACTTCATAACAGAATAAGGGAAAGAATATAGTGTCTGCATCAGCCATTAGTGTGGGAAAAACACCTAAAGCTCGTGACTGAAGACAGGGCGTTCACAGCCTACCGTGCAGTGGGCGATCTGTCACCGGGGGGCCTGTCTCAGCAGGGCTCCTCATCCTCACCAGCCAGCGAGGGCGCAGGCAGGCAGCTTTGCTCATCCTGGGCTTGATCGTGTTCAACAGGTCTGCTGGCCGAGCGTGCCGAGATTGGCCTTGGCTTGCACAACTGTACAGGCCAGCTCACAGCCGCTCACACGGTGGATCCAGCGTTTCAGGAGACACGGCGCGCGAGGCCTCCTGAGTGCCAGGCTCAGAACAAGGCCCTCTCACTTCTACCTCATTCTGGTAAGACCAGGTCTCAAGGCAAACCCGGGTACAGTCAGGGCAGGACGAGGAGGAGGTGCAGATACTGCCGGCCTGGGAAGCATTAGCGAAACAGAATCACTAGTAATAGATCTTTATGTGCACACGGGTCTTACACATCTGTGTTACAGGCTGTGGGGGCCCAGAGCCTCTGTGCAGTAAACAAGCACACACAAGTGTTGCATACAGATATGGGTATGTGCACACACGTGTTGGACACATGATCATCAAGGCGGTTCTTTGTGTCTGGTGCTGGATCCTGAAGGCTGCAGGAGAGCAGTCAGGGAGAGACGGCTGTGGCCTGGGGAAAGAGGCAGACGGGTGCCCTGGGCCGGGCACTGCCCACCCCAGGCGCCAGCCTCCCTGAGCCCAGGACTGCAGGAGCGCTGGCTGGCTTCTTCCCGGAGCTGAACAAACCTGTGGCCAACCTTCAGGCACACTGCCACTGCTGTGTCATTTTGTTTTTCCTATGTCTCTCGTGGCTGCTGACCCCCAGCCAGGCAGGAACAGAGGTGTAGGAAGCAGGTTCTGGCTTAGCTGATTTAAAACCAGACACATGGCCCAGACACTCAGCAAAGCAGGCTGTGGGAGGGGGGGGGGGGGGCTCATGTTGCTCCTTTTGACACTCAGTCCACTGCCTGCTACGCCTAAGAGGAACAGAACAATGTCATTGCCCCCCAGAGCATCTATAATCTGGAAGATACGAATTTAACTTCATTCCAGGTTTTTAGTTTGTCTTTTCCTCATTTCCCAGGATTATTACAAAGATCAGAGAGAATGTATATGTGAAAAAGCTTTATTTATAGACAAGTTAAGATACTGTGTATATCAGGTACACACTTTTATAAGGGATCACAAAATATTGCAGAGACATGATAAGCCACGTTTGTTCAATTCACAGTGAAAACAGAGTGAGAATTTAGACCCAGATACAACCTTTGAGCCCAGGCTGTCTGTTAGTCCCAACTAACAAGGAGGCTTGGGTGAATTACCTAATCTTTCTGATACCCAGTTTCTTCATCTTTAGATTGACATCATGTAGATGGCTGGATAATTACATAGATGGGTTGAATCACAATGAGAGAGAATGCATACGGCGACACAATGGTGTTCGGAACACAGCAGGGCCCTGCATGTAACTCCCTGTAAAAGGCCACTTTTTAAACAGAAACTGCCACGTTGCTCCTGCAGATATGAGGTCCTCTTATTTCTGTAAGAACATTAGCTCAGATCAGTTAATCAAATCAGAACTAACACAACTCCAGGATTGGAGAGGTTTCGCAGGACAAGGTCTAGGAGTGAGACAGCGACACAGGTCAGTATCAGAGAGAAGGGAACCCTGGGATGGAGCACCGGCCATCCAGACTTGGAGAGTCCCAGCGTGAGCCACACCAGACACAGGGTGTGGGGACTGGGATGCCAACACGTTCACGGTTAATGCCTGGAGCCTGCGCTCTTCAGTAGGTGAATCTGAGATGTTTCCAAAAGCATGTCGGGTCGCTATTTCTAGGATAGTTAGCCTAGAGTCTATTTCCTCTTTAAATAGAAAAAATAATCATGTATTCCTGATCAATACTAAAAATTAACCATTTGTCCTGTATATGACTGAAAATACCCCTCAACTTCTGTGACAATCCATCAGGTGTATCTGCAAACTATAGACACTGGAAGCACTAATCACCCACTGATTTCACACTTAATAAACTCAACAGGGTATGTTTGCACACAACTGGAGGACAATGTCAGATGTGAGCTATGTTTTCCCTCTATATTGCGAAGAACATATACTACAAAGTAGATAAACAGGACACACGATGTTAAAGACATTCCCTAACACTCATCAAAATGAAACTTGGTAAAAACAAAAAAATCGAAAAAGAGTTGCCAGTGAGCTTTGGTGTGGAGGAGGGAAGTGGGCCTGTGGTTTGGTGATGAGTGGGGTTTGATGGCTAACAAGCAAGCGAAGCCCGTCCAGGCGTGAAGGAGTGGATCCGGCTCAGCGTGGTAGTGCAGCCGGTTAAGCTGCTGCAGGCAATGCCTACACTGGAGACCCACTGCCCCGCTTCCAATCCAGTCCCTGCTATGGCCTGGGAAGGCAGCAGAAGATGGCCCAGGTGCTTGGGCCCTGCTCCCACATGGGAGGCCTGGGTGGAGTTCCTGGCTCCTGGCTTTGGCCTCGCATGGACTGTGGTGGCCATTTGAGGGGTGAATCAGTAAATGGAAGCAACTTCTGTCTGTGTCTCTCTGATGCGGTGTTGCAGGCGGAGGCTTAGCCCACAGCACCGTGACGCCAGCCAGTCAAGCCCTGGCATTCAGTACTTGGGGTTTCTCTTCTCTGCCTCTCCTGACCAGCACTGAGAATTGAGTTGAGCAAGTGTCAACATTTCCTATTTGCCTACAGTCTTAAATACGAGAATATAAACACGTACGTGTGTGTGCTCCTCACATGACTTGCTGATACCCCAGAAGCCCATCACAAGGTGAAGATACCCCCGGTCAAAGACACAGGGGTTCCCCTCGCTTCCGGGCCGTCCCAGCTTAGCCCCTGCACGCGGCTGTTGGTGACCGAGGGGCCAGCTGCCCTGCCTGTCGCGAGCCTGGCAGAGAGCACCATGGGAAACCCAAGCACAGTTCCTCCTGGATGCACCTGACTTCCGCACTGTTCCCCACACACAACAGTGTACGGGACGGTCTGCAGCCAGAATAACTGTGGGCACGTCTGTGACTGGTCCTGGAGGATGACTGTGTCCCCAAACAGTGGCTGCCAGCAGTCAGTCCAGAAGGGTCCCCTAGGAGACATGTTCAGACTGCAGAGAGCATGATCGACAATGTGCTGTGCCTGCAAACCAAGCCAGGCAGCAAGGACCAGGGTTGGGTCTGTGGCCAGCAGCTGCCCTCCCCTGCACCTGCCTGAGCTGTGTGCGTGTCAGGCGGCAGGCGCACGCCCACCTTACGGCTGGCTCTGTGAAGGTGGAGAAAAGCCCTGTGCAGTGCCCATGTCAGTGACAGGGTTGAGTGACGCCTGCATTTTTGCTGCACCCTGACAGTTGGCTCCCCGGGAAGACCAGTCTGATATTTAAGGACCTCAGATGGACAGATTCCCTCTCTGTCACGGTTCCTTCATCTGCTGGGACACAAAGCAATGCAGATTTCTGGGACTCCCTGACCCTGTAATTTTTCCATGCTGGACAGCAGGTCTGGGAATTAAAACTGGCGTGGGCTCGGTGTGGACCGGATGTGAGCTGCACCGGGGCATCAGCTCTGCCAGGGGGCGGCGTCGGGCCGTGTGGCCGAGCGCAGAACCAGATCACGTGATACCAGGCGGTCCTGTCTCAAATCCGCGCTTGGAGGATACATGCATTTTACAATGTGGAAGACGAGGCCAGAAACACATGCAACACCCACATTCCTTCAGAAAACCGACCTGGCATCTTCAAGAATGTGGGAGCAGCTTCCCTGCATGCGTGGGCAGGTGGGCCTGACTCTCACCTGCGGGGCCTGGCGCTCACCTGCGGGGCCTGGCGCTCACCTGGCTGGGCCTGACCCTCACCTGCGGGGCCTGGCGCTCACCTGCTGGGCCTGGCGCTCACCTGCTGGGCCTGGGGCTCACCTGGCTGGGCCTGACCCTCACCTGCTGGGCCTGGCGCTCACCTGCTGGGCCTGACCCTCACCTGCTGGGCCTGGGGCTCACCTGGCTGGCCTGGCGCTCACCTTCGGGGCCTGGCACTCACCTGGCTGGCCTGGCGCTCACCTGCCAGGTCTGGAGCTCACCTGGCCGGCCCTGGCGCTCACCTGCGGGGCCTGGCGCTCACCTGGCTGGGCCTGACCCTCACCTGCGGGGCCTGGCACTTACCTGGCCGGCCCTGGAGCACACCTGTCGGCCCTGGCGCTCACCTGCGGGGCCTGGCACTCACCTGGCTGGGCCTGACCCTCACCTGCGGGGCCTGGGGCTCACCTGCCATCTCTGTCGCTCACCTGGCCGGCCGCTTTCCCTTCCCGTCCGCGAATACCACGGCGGCCGCTAGGCGGCGCTGCTCCCTTCCAGATCGTCCGCCCAAGCCCAGCGGTGGGACTGTGGCGCGCTCACCTGACGCCGGGCAGGTGGCACAGGCCCCGCGGAAGGCTGCCCAGGATGACCTAAGCGAGAGGAGAAGAGCGACAGGAGACCAGAGTTTCCAGAGAGTCGCGGCGAAGGGCTGGGACTCGTTCCCAGGCGGTGCAGAGCCGCTGCAGGGTCCCCACCTAGGAGGAGCCCGCCCGTGGTCTGCGGGTCGCAGTGTCCCAGGGCCGCAGGTGCGGAGGCCAGCAGGAAGCGCACCTGCTGGGACGGCCACGGGATGAAGACGCGGCCCGAGTGGGCGCGCAGGGCGCGGAATACGCGGCGCAGAGAGGGGTGGGGGAGCCCGCTGTACACATTTACGGGTACATCGTAGTATTCCAATCGTCCCTCCCGTCCCCCTCGGCCCACCTGCAGGTATCCCCAAGCCTTTCTCCTCCCGCAGGCAGAGACCCTGGAGCCCCCCATTTAATTTCCCTCTAAACCTCCAAGTCACCCCTCCACCTCCGTCCTCTGTTCTCATGGAGCTAGGAGGGGGGACTCACAGAAGAGGGTGCGAGAGGAAAGCACTGCTACTTTAGGGGCTCCTGGAATGTTCCACAGCCCAGCCAGGAGTCAGCCTTGTTGAAAAGATGTTCCCTAGGGATTGCCCACCTGGGCCTCCAGAGCCGCGTCAGGCAGGGGAGGTCCACACCACGCCCTGCGGAGGGGCCAGGAAGGAGTGCGCTTAGCTCCAGATGTCACTGAGATGCCAACAGGGCTGACGAATGATTGCATCCATACTGTGGAATAAGAGTTAATTTAACCATGCTTATAATAACTAAGCATATTCTATACAAAGTTCTTGACATAAAAGTTGAGGATTTTTTTTAACCACTAAAGGATAGCTTTACCAATACCCCCAGGGGTTGGCATTTGCCCTAGCAATGAACCGCGAGTTAAGACGCCAGCATCCACGTCGGAGTGTCGGGGCTGCATCCCGGCCTCCAGCCCAGACCCCCGCTTCCTGTACTGCACACCACGGGCAGCGGCAGCCATGGCTCAAGTGGCTGGACTTCTACGTGGGAGACCTGGATTGAGCTCCTGGCTCCCAGCTTTGCTCTGGCCCAGCCCTGGCTGTTGAAGTTTTGGGGAGTGAACCCACAGATTGCAGCTGTCTCCCTGCCTTTCAGATCAAGAAGAAATGCCCCTGGCTAAGCGAATAGTCTCTGCTCTGCTCTAATCCAAACGCTCCTTCTCTGTCCAAATCCTCTTCTTCATTTCTGATTCTTGGCTGTCACTGCTGTACACCAGGATGCCACCTCTCTGTGTCAGGGCTTTGTTGCCAGGCACCAAGCTAACTCCCTCTGCAACTGCTTCAAGTTCAAATCTGAAGTCATAGCATCAGTATCACAGAACCACCAATGTCTGTTTTCAATACTCGCCAGGGAAGAGGATCAGGCAACTAAGCAAAACCAGGTGGTGTGAGGTCAGTAAGAAAAGGGGAGATTTTCCAGGGGGATTTGTGGGTAAGGGTAGCTTGTGGTGCCTAAGGGCAGCCCAGGTTTCCCTGTCCACATTCTCAGCTCTCGTCCTGCCTCTCTGTGAGCAAACGCTTCGTCTCTCCCTTCTAGGCCGGGTCCTTCTACTTCCCAGCACGGGAGACTGTGGCCACCCCGCCCGCCCACTCTGCATCCTCTCCAATCTATGCACTCAGTAAAGGCCTGAAGTCTCTCCCTCAACTCCACATCTGCAGGTTCATGAACAGACTGGTGAGCAGGAGCCGGCTCTGCGCCCTGGGTCCAGGGGAGCAAGGTGGTGGGCCAGCGTGGGAGCCGGGTTCCTGGGGAGGAGGGATGGGGACACGTGGCTCCTCTGGGATGGTTATGGGGCTCCGGCCACCACTTCTGTCTGGCTGCTGTGTTCTGCATGCTCCATTGCCTTTAACAGCACAAATCATTTCCATTCCCTGTGTGCTCCAGATGTGGTTTATGTAAATGGAATGGTGACGCTTACAAAATGCAGAGTCCAGAACGCTAGACGGCCATGGATTTGTCTGCCTCTTTAAAGAATGCATGTTTTTGACTTGTCTTCATCAGCTCTTTGTAAAAGGTTCAATACGGTTGTCATGGAGACAATCCTCTCCTTTTGCCCCACGTTTCGTTGGTAAATACAGTTACTAATTAAAACGTGTAAATAGAGTGACAAGTACAGCGGACAGGACCGGTGTGAGAGTGACCCAGTGGTCTGGTGAGGACACAGGCAGTACCGGGGTGATGCTGGCTGTGCCTGGAGATGGAGCAGTGCCTTCTTAAACCTCACCTGCATCACGGTCAGGTGACCGAGATGGCTTGTGAATGCACAGGCTGCTGTGGTTCAACCAAGCCAGGAGGTAGGGCTCAAGGCCCGAGAACTTGCATTTCTATCAGGCTGCCGGGGGTGCTTCTGGTCTGGGGGGACCATGTCCCGGAGAGCACCTGGATCAGCCTGGGCGTTCAGCAGTGCATGGGCAGGCAAGAGCTGGGATGTTCTGCAGAGTGACAGGAGGGTGCCATGTGATCCAGCGACTGAGGACACAGGGTCTGTCTTAGGAGACTGCTGTGTCAGTCCCATTCTAACCCAGGCGCTCCAGGTCAGCTGTCACAGCTCAGCCGCCTGTCTGCAGACGGAGACTGTGTGATCCGAGCCGAACCTTAGTTCACTTATCTGTAGAGAATGGGAGTGATAATTTTCAGGGGTCAGAGACTCCATCAGTCATTGCAGAAGAGGCAGCGTAAGAATCACATGTGTGACCTGTTTTCCTTGCTACCAACTTCCACAGGGGTGACACAGTATGGGACAGGTAGATGCCTTGCACGCAGCGGGACATCCACTGCTTTTACAGCTCTGGCTCCGGGGAAAGACAGTACCACGTCTCTCAGATTCACCAGCATGTAAACAGCCCCGGTCAAGAGCAGCCAGGACCACGCGGCCTGGGCACACCATGAGGAGGAGCTCAAGAGGCCAGGCAGGAGCGTCTCTTCCGGCACTGCCCACCTGGGCCACGTGCACAAGCGCTGTGTCCAACCTGATGCACAGTTTGCAGCGTGCCACCGGTACCGCGTGGCATTCCCAGGAGCACCGCGTGAGGGGAGCCACCTCTCCATTCTCACTAACACTGGGTGCTGTCAGGGCTCAGTCTTTGCCAGTCTGACTCATCCAAGGGAAATTCTTTGCGCCTCTGTGATCCACGGTGAGGTTGGACATCGTTTCATACTTACTGCCGTTTGTATGTGTCTTCTGTGAACTGCACGCACTTGTTTTCGCCAGCCCAGGTGGTCTGCTGGCTCTGATGGACCCAAGAATGCAGACTGGACTGTCCGTCTTAGGCAGTGAGCACCTACTCTGAGCTCCGGCCTCTGCCCTCAGCAGCAGCCAGGAAAACATACTATGCTCATGGAAAGGGAAGTGACAGTGCCAGCCTCTGAATGCCAAGGGTCGAAGCTGTGACACAATCATCTCGCTCAGCCACCTCAGAGCCGGTCCTGCGCCAGGCTTCTCTCCAAGCCCTGGAGACAGAAGAACCCAACAGACACATCTCCACCCCCGAGGCACACACAGGCTGGTAGGCAAGCAGAATCTAATGTGAGAGCTCTGATAATAGGGGCAGATATGAGGGGATATGAGAGCAAATTAGGATGGTCAATTCTATCTTTTTTGATTAGTGAGAACATGTAATAAAACATTACACAACTATAGAGCTCCAAAAAGCGTAAGATGTTTTTTACTGGAGGTAGCATGATGCCATGAGAAGACTGCATTTTGGCAATCAGTGGGTTGGTTTCCCAGTTCAGTCACATCAAACTGTGCAGCCGTGGGCAATTTTCTTTTTCTTTTTTTCTTTTTTTTGACAGGCAGAGTGGACAGTGAGAGAGAGAGATAGAGAGAAAGGTCTTCCTTTGCCGTTGGTTCACCCTCCAATGGCCGCCGCGGCTGGCGCGCTGCGGCCAGCGCACCGCGCTGATCCGATGGCAGGAGCCAGGAGCCAGGTGCTTTTCCTGGTCTCCCATGGGGTGCAGGGCCCAAGCACCTGGGCCATCCTCCACTGCACTCCCTGGCCACAGCAGAGAGCTGGCCTGGAAGAGGGGCAACCGGGACAGAATCCGGCGCCCCGACCGGGACTAGAACCCGGTGTGCTGGCGCCGCTAGGTGGAGGATTAGCCTAGTGAGCCGCGGCGCCGGCCGCAATTTTCTTAATAATATCTTCTACATAGGGTCACCATGAGTTGCCAAAAAAATTCAAATAAAGTCAGGACCAACTTTATTTGTGAGGCCTGGAAACCTACGTATCATCTGTATATATATGAGTTTATGGTTTAAATCAAGTTAGCTACAGATCAAACGCAATCCCTAGCCAAACTTGAGTTGCCTTCTTTTAAGAAAATTGACAAGTGGATGCTGAAAGTCAAACAGAAGTGCAAAGGACTTTAAATAATCAAGACAATCAAGACAAAGAACAAAACTGGAGACTTGCACCTCCAAATTCTAACTCTTAATCATGGAGAGACCCAAAAATCAAGACAGCACATATCACTGTATGGCTAGATACGCATGTGGACCCCACAACAGATCCGAGAGGCCAGAAAGTAACCCTCACACTTACAGCCAACCGTGCCAAGACAACAAGAGTCCCAAGACAACAAGACAACTGAAAGGGGGAAGGAGTGGCCTTTTTGGTAAATGGTGCTGAGACGCTGGACATCCACACACACGTGATGATGCTGGACTCCTTCCTCTTGTATAAATATAAATGACCCCAAAATGGATCATAGGCATGAGCGTAAGAGCTAAAACCATAAGCTCTCATAGGAAGACACAATCTTCACAGTCTATATTAGTGATTCCTGAGATTTGACACCAAAAGCACAAACAACTGAAAAGGGTAAATAAATTAGACTTCAGAATGTGAAACTCTGGGCTGGGGTCGTGGCACAGTGGTCAGGCTGCTCGCAGCGCTCGGCACCCCACATCACAGTGCCACTTTGAGTCCCGGCTGCACTTCTGACCCAGCTCCCTGCTCATGCGCCTGGGGAAGCAGTGGAAGGTGCCCAAGTGCATTAGCCCCTGCACCCATGTGGGAGGCCCAGATGGCGTTACGGGCTCCTGGTTTCGGCCTGGCCCATTCCCAGCTGTTCTGGCCATCTGGGGAGTGAAACAAAAGATGACAGATCTCTCTCTCCCTCTCTCTCTCTCTCTCATGTCCCTCTGCCTTTTAAAGTAAATAAAATAAAATCTTAAAAATTTAAAACTTTTGTGCGTCAATGGACACTGTCATAAATGTGAAAGACAGTCCATAGAATATGAGAAAATATTTGCAAATCATACATCTAGTGATGGACTTGTACACAAAGTATATGAAGAACCCTTATAACTCAATAACACACCAAACTAGAAATTGTTAAGTAAAACACGTTCCATTTTCTTTAATAGTTTTAACTTCATAAAGACAAAAAGAAAAATTTGTGTAAAGAGCAATTTTCTGTGATTCTAAGTTGGTAAAATATTTATAACAAAATTTAATAAGCACTTATTGGCAAATAACAGACATATAATTCAGAAAATATATTTCATAAAACTCATTTTTTCTACCTGTCATTTCAGCAAAGTAATTTAATTCTTGCATTAAATATATTACATAATTTGTTTTCTGTTCAAACTAATGGTTTTGAAGAATTAAATATTAAAGTTTAATTGTATCCAAAGTACACAAAATGTGAATTTAATGAAAAAAGTGAAATAAAATAAGTATAAAAATAAAAACATTTAAAATTTAAATTACTGTTACATTTTAAGATTTTTTTTTCTAAAATATCCAAAAATTATCTCTTAGAATTTCAGGGTCAATAGAATATATAGTTGATCAATAACAAAAACATCAATCATTGCCCCCCCACCAGCGGGTGCGACCCAGCCACTGTCACGGATGACAGTCACTGTCTGACCAGGAAGTGTATGACTAAGCCACTACTTGGCAGGAAACAAATGGTCATCCATGGCCTCCACCCTGGGACAGCAACAGTGCCCAAGACAGAAATTCAGGAACAAGTGGCCAAAGTGTACCAGAGCCCTCCCAATACCATCCCTGTGTTTGGATTCAGAGCTAATTTGGGTGGTGGCCAGACACCTGGCTTTGGTCTGATTCATGATTCTTTGAATGATGCAAAGAAAAACGAACCCAAACACAGACTTGTGAGGCATGCCTGTCTGAGACAAGAGACCTTGAGAGAACAGCAAAAGGTGCGTGAGAGCACAGGGTGAGGAAAGACGGGGGACAGCAGAGGCCGACATCACTGCCGCTGAAAACCCAGAGGAGGCAGATTCTGCGATGCCTTTATCTGTGGTGATGGTCTGAATTTCTCACGGGCATTAATACTCTGCAAAAACTTTAAAAAAATTGTGTTAAAAAAAAGCCAAATTTAGTTTTTGACAATTTAATTAAATTTTAGAAAACAGTTTTATGACAACAGAACCATTTGGAATTCTACCATCTGATGTCCATCTGAACCATTCGTCAGGGATGTTATGGTTGCCTAAATACTTGCATTTACAGCTCTGAGGATGTGAATTATGTAACGCTGCAAAGCATTCCCAGTTGATCTATGCAACTGCTGTAGATGGGCACCTCTGGGGCCGGTGCTGTGGCACAGCGGGTTAAAGCCCTGGTCTGAAGAGCTGGCATCCCATATGAGCGCCAGTTCTAGTCCTGGCTGCTCCTCTTCTGATCCAGCTCTCTGCTGTGGCCTGGGAAAGTAGTAGAAGATGGCCCAAGTCCTTGGGCCCCTGCACCCATGTGGGGGCCCCAGAAGAAGCTCCTGGCTCCTGGTTTCGGATCAGTGCAGATCCAGCCATTGTGGCCAGTTGGGGAGTGAACCAGCAGATGAAAGACCTCTCTCTCTCTGCCTCTCCTCTCTCTGTGTAACTCTGATTTTCAAATAAATAAATAAATCTTTTTTTTGTTTAAAAGATGGGTACCTCTGGAATCGGGATTCGAAAGGCAATCATTATCAAATTATCACCCTAAAACATGTCAATTTACAATTCTTTTTTTTTTTTTTTTTTTTTTTTTTTTACAGGCAGAGAGAGAGAGACAAAGAGAAAGGTCTGCCTTTACCATTGGTTCACCTTCCAATGGCTGCTGTGGCCAGCGCACTGCGCTGATCCGAAGCCAGGAGCCAGGTGCTTCTCCTGGTCTCCCGTGGGGTGCAGGGCCCAAGCACTTGGGCCATCCTCCACTGCACTCCCTGGCCACAGCAGAGAGCTGGCCTGGAAGAGGGGCAATCGGGACAGAATCTGGCGCCCCGACTGGGACTAGAACCCGGTGTGCCGGCGCCGCAAGGCGGAGGATTAGCCTAGTGAACTGCGGTGCCCGCCAATTTACAGTTCTTTTGTAAACAAACTTTAATATGTAGCAGTAGAAGAAAAGGAGGATAATGAAAATACATGGTGTTTGACATTACTGACAATACTTCCATACCAAATCTGTTCTCCTCAGGCTAATGAAGAAAGTGTGAAAAGCTAGTTGATTGCTTTTAGTTATTAAACTGTTTGACTGCCAAAATACTGCTGTACCTTGAGGCGGCATAACCCACAGACCTGCAAACATGTGGATACTCACTTTTTGTTTCAGAGACACAGAAGAGGTGGTGGGGATTCTCCTAGGACAGGGCTGCCCTGCACATGGACTGTGGGGATCCCAGAGCAGGGGCCCCTCTTGCCCAGACCCAAGGCTGCCCTGCAGGGCGCACCGGAGAGAGGGAACAGGTCACCCTCTAGTCCACTTGAGGATCCGGGCAGTGTGGACTTCTTGACGCACGTTCTTGTCTTTGCTCCACCACTCCTTTTCATTTTATTTTCAGTCCCATGGCCACTTTCTCTGTCTCCTTTGCAAGACTCTCTATCAATCCCACAGGACTGCACAGCAGGGTTCAGCTCCAGGCTCTCCACACCCATATCCTGGTGAGCGACTGTTCAACAGCTCCCTTTGGACACTGCCAAGGAGCCTCCCCGTCAGTGACTTTGAGAGAGAACTCATGCTTTGCTGGACGTTTTCTGATGGCCCATCTAGCTCCACTGTTCGTCTTCTCGCACCCCTGCCCTACTAATCTTGTTTGGGTTTGGGTCTGGGTTTGAAGATCTGGTAGGCAATCTGAGGGAGGGGAAGAGTAAGGTTGGAGTATTTATTTCCTGAACTACTTCTCTTCAGGGTGGCTGTGGCCTGGGGACAATTCTCCTGCCCAAAGATTTTATCTCCTATCAGATGACTCCCTAAACTCGTTCCCATAACTACTCCCTCTCCTGCCTCTCAGGTATGAACTATTATTTTTAGCAAAGCATTGCACTAGGCCTTGGCTTTGCCTTGCTCTGACAGCATTTTTGTAACAGTTCTTTTGGCAAACTTTCTTCAACTTACTCAATCGGACCACACCATCTTTTTCCCACTGGGACCCTGGCTGACATAGTAATGGGCACAACACAGAATCTTTAAGAGGGACTCAGACCCTGGTTTTGGTTGTGCAATATTTGGAGAGCACACGGGGGACGCGGGGTCTGGGTAACAGGATCAGTCACTCGACCTGTCACCGTGGTAACGTGGAAGGGCAAGGTGTTGGGAAATCAAGTGGGTGGCTCTGCAGCCTGGCTGCTACCAGAGGAACGCCTTTTGGAATTACGGTGCCATCTGGGTTGTTCTAAAGCTTAGGGAGCTCTAGTAGGGAAAAGGAGAAATAACCAGACCATCATGTGCACAGTTGCTAACTCTGATGAGAGCTTGAAAAGTGCATCTCACTTCCTGAGGCTGCAGGAACCCACGGCTGGGAGCTGACTCAAGGCTGCAGCACCAGCTGGATGCTCAGAGCCACGGGGCCCACGACATTCAAACAGGAGCGCCTGGGGGGATGGGAGGGCCCTGACCGCTGAGTCAGGGCGTGGAGACACACCTTGCAGCAGAGAAAGCATGCAGTGAGTGCGCACTTCTACTCCTGTCGGACAGTGTAATACAGTAACTCTGGAATAGTGAGCTACTACCCAGTCCACCGGTGTTGACAGGAGTCCCATCTCCAAGAAGCAGCTGGATTCCTGGAGAAATGGAAGAGCCCGCTCAGCCCTGACCGTTGCAGCTATCGAGAGAATGAACCAGCGGAGGGAAGACCTCGCTCTCTCTCTCTCTCTCTCTCCCTCCCTCCCTCCCTCTGTGTGTGTAACTCTTTCAAATAAATAAATATTTTTTTAAAAAAGAAAATATGCCAGTGGTCAGAAAGCTTACTCAAAAGAGGTTCAAAATTAGATAGCAGGGAACTGGAGAATAAAATGACATTGAGATCATACATTCAACCCAAATAGCTAAGTTTAAAAAAAAAAATTGGCAATACCAGGTACGCAGGGATATGGAAAGACCAGAGCTCTCACACGTTACTGGTGGGAGTGTAGGCTGGTGAAAAGGACTGTGGAAAAGTCTGGAAGCACCTACAAAAGGTAAATAAATGCCAACCTTATGACGCAGCAATTCTACTGCCAGCTACATACCCAAGAGAAATGAGTGCCCGTGTTCACCAGAGGACATTTACAGGGATTTTCATAGGACTTCTATTTCTATTAGCCTCAAACTGGAAACATTCCAAATAGACCTTAAGAGTCAGGTAGACAAAGAAGTGTATACATTCATGGCAAGTAATAAGGGGGGGGGCAACTCAGCACCACACGGATCAGTCTGGCAGACGCAGCGACGAAGGAAGGCGGCCCCTCGCGGGGCGGACACGTGGTCCATGTGTCTGACGCTCAAGAAAAAGGGAGACTAATCCCCAGGGTCAGTCCAGAGTGGCCACCTCGGGGAGTGTGAGGGAGGCAGGGAGAGAGAACTGGCAAGCCGCTACTTCTGGGTGTGTCTGCCGGCTGTTTCCAGGGAAGAACGGCCTGTTGTCCAGAAAACTGAGCAGGGAAGGCCCGCTCCTACTGTGGGTGGCCACCTTCCCCAGAGGAGCAGGGAAGCAGGAGAAAATCTCTCTCTTTCTCTCTCTCTGGTTCTGTGGTTCTCTCTGGTTTGTGGGCTGGGGCCAGTTCTTCCCAGCGCAGCTCTTGGACATCAGACTCGCGACCGTGTGGCCTGTGGACGCAGGGACCTGCACCAGTGGCTTCCGGAGTGTTTGGTCTCGGGGCAGGGGTGACAGCAGTGGGCTCCGCGGGGCTGAGGCTGGTGGCTGCTTGCACTGAGACACACTGCAATGAAGAGACTGACTCTTGTTGCAGATGGCCTCTCATGGAACTTTCCAGCCTGTTGTCAGATTACTGCGGCCTAGTAAATCCTCTCTCTCTCTCTCTCTCTCTCTCTCTCTCTCTCTCTCTCTCACACACACACACACACACACACACACACACCCTACAGGTTCTGTTGCTCAGGACAACACTGACCGATACAGGGGACAGTTGTTCAGAAGGGGTATGAGGGGCCATCTGGGGATCTTCATCTGGGTTTCCCTTAGCGTTACTCTTACTGCTTTCCCTTTCCAATCAATACGTGTAAGATGGTGTCTGTATTATGCATCACACATACACAATTTTTGCCAACTGCACGAGTTTGTACTGG